TGTCCATTACCTTTGGTTATGTTTCTAGAAACAAGATTGGGCCTTGTCACTCCTAGATGTCACGAATACCCAATGTCTCTGTGTAGTACCAAAGATTCATTTTGATTGGAGGGTGTGTAGATTCCCTCCTGCATTCGAATTTCAGTGTCTAAACTCCTTGCAACCATGAACAACGTGAGTATTTGATGATAGAAGGCTGAATATTACAGTTTTCCTTCTAGAAAGCAGCTGGAGTATTTGCCTTCAATTGGTGTGAAAATTTTGCATAACTGTTGGCACAAAATCAGAACAGATGATGTTGGGATAATGATCTACTAGAACAGGGAGATTTCATGACAGGACCTCAGGCCTCCTGGAATGTTTCTCTCACAGTGTCCTTTTCTTTCACTGAGGAAACTGATGTTCCTATGTTAGGATTGCACAGTGCATTGTTTGTGTGTGGGGGAACCTGCTTCATGTGTCTGTCCCTTTGTCAATGTATTTACAGAAATTCAAAAGGATCAAGAGGAGGTAGAAGATCAAGACCCGCCGTGCCCCAGGTAACTCTGAGGAATCAGGGACAGTTAATTCAGTGTTGATATCCGGAGTCTCGGATGCAGGGAAAATCAGAGTGTACAGAATATACCTGTTCCATCTGTTCAGCCAACCATGAAATAGCCGTATTCATTATGTTGACTCTTTTCATTGTACACCTGTATTTATATTTCTTCCTTATTAATTCCTTTCAATTCTACTAATCTGCATTCAGTTGACTCTGTTGAACTCATCAGTCACACATTTTCTGCAGTTCCCTTTTCTGTCCTTTTTGCTTAAAGTGAAGTTGAGTTGCACATCTGATGTCTGCCTCTTTGGCATTACCATGTTTACAAGTATTCCATACCAGGGAAGTGATTTAAAATAACTCATGTCATGCTCACAATGTTGAGAACAAGAGATGTTGAGGATACAGGAACACTGTCTGTGAAGACTGAAGAGCCTGCATTCATTTGGCCACTGATGCTAATTTCAACAAAATGTATGCAAAAGTGCCGAATGCACTGTGTCCTGGCAGTTTCCCACAGGGATCACTCCATTACCTTCCTCCCCAAATCATTGCCTGCCCAGTGCACTGAGAGCCTGTCACGATGTGTCTCCTCCTTGAGACAGGGAAGGATGGTTGCATCTCTCTGAGGGGACTATACTTTGCTTCCTCTGGGCCTCCCTGAGGCCCTCCCTATAGAACCAGCTGGGCGCATTGGTGTTGGTTCTCTCTGATGTTTATCTTCTGTCTTCTTTACCCCAGGCTCAGCCAGGAGCTGCCAGAGGTGAAGGAGCAGGAAATGCCAGAGGACTCCGTGGATGAAGTTTACTTGACTCCCTCAGTTCACCATGACCTGTCTGACTGCCACCAGCCTTATAGCAGCACATTGTACTCATTGGAGGATCAGTTTGCCTGCTCTGCTCTGGATGGAGCCTGTGAGTACTCCAGCCTGGAGGTCACAAAGATCCACTGTCATCCCAGGCAGCCTCTATATGTTTTGTTTCCTGCAACTTGTGCAGGTGAGACAGACCATCTCTGTAGCAGGCCCTAGACACTGAGCTTGTTCTGAATCTGTCTCTTGGATTCAGTTTTAAGCACAGACATCCACTTGGTAGAACGTCCTCTTCTCCTGTCCCAAGTGACTCCTCTGTCACCTGGCTCCTTCTCACAAGAGCAGGCTGTGGCTATCAAAACAGGCCAGGGAGGGGAGTGGTGAGGGCTTACTGCAAATTCTTGGCCACAGTAGCTCAGCTGGAGAAATTTATATAACAGACCTCC